GGATGGGGAAGGGAAGGCAGGTAGGCAGTGGAAGAGCACTGCGCCATTCTGAAAACCGCTCACGCATTCGAGCTCAGGTGTTGGGAGCCAGGCAGGTGGACCACACACCTGCACTGTGGGGAGACACGTGAGTGGGGGAGACATGGAGTTTTCCTGCCTTCACAAAGCTGTTTTATAGCACATCTTGAGAGGAAGCAGATGCAGGACACACAGAAATACTTCAGCAATGGTAAATTTCAACAGGTCAAAATAGAAAAAGGGARCATAAGGGAGGACTGGCTTTTAACAGACCCCACCCTCAGCCAGAAATTTTCTAATTGCTACCTCTAAGTCCTTCTCAGCACATCTATTATTAATGGACAGGATTTTTTTTTTTTTTAAATCTTAACAGGAAAGCTGACTTTGGTTATTTTCTCCTCATCCAGGCTCTATCCTCTTTCTTCCTACATGGAGAAATAACAGCCTGTTTTCTTGAAATAAATACATACACATATAAAACATTTATCATAATATGGACATAAAATTAAACATTTAACTCAGAAAGTACTTTAAAACCCACTGTTTTCAGCAATGCTGTTTTTTAAAAACCTAAGTGGTTTTCGTACGCATTCCAATGAATACACATATTTTATTTTTTTAAGCTGGGATTAATACAGCTTACGATTGCCATTTGTAGCAGAAGCAAGTTATAGTCAGAGGAATGTCATTAAGGGAAAAAAAGTTTTCTCAGGCACARAGGAAACACCTCTAAAAGCATACTTCTTTTAAAGTTTTTTTTTTTTTTCAAAGCAAGTAATTGAAAGTTATTTTATKGTGATTGGGTACAGCTGCATTTCACATTTGGAAGATCTCTCCCATTGCAAATTTGAAAATCAGACACTGACTTCTAGGTAATGCCAATGTTAAGGAACTTTAAACAAAATTTAAAAAAATATTCATAGGGAATTCAGTTAATCTCATCCAGCTTAGACAGTATTTCTACATGACAGAATTATTATACTTCCAAAGACATTTATGTTGGAAGTACTTGAACCTCTTGAAATAGGATAAAGTGGGACTCCCCTCTGGATAACATAATAAAGTTGAAAAGGGAGCAGGGAAGATAATTAAACCCTGGCCTCCACAAAGACTGGAAGAGGCCCAGTAATTTCTTCTAACGGTCACTGGCCTGCACTTCTCCTAAGCAGCTGAAGCAACATAGACACAGTACCTTTGGCAGCCCTCAGGAGGTTGCCCAGGCATGTGGGAACACATGCTTCCTTACTCTGCATCTGCTGGGCAAAACTACTGGGTTAAATATAATCAGCATGCCAGAAATCGGCTTGACTWGTAAGAGGAGGCCGGGGAATGTTTAAGGATGGCTTAGCACTGTTTGAAATCTTCCCTAAATGCCCTGAATAAACTGTGCTAATAAATGTGCATGCAACACTGCTTTGAGCCCCGTGCTACCCCAAGTGTGTAATGCTGAGCCAGCTGCGTGCACATTGTAACCAGCCTACCCCAAAGCCCTTGCCATTCCAACCCCTGCTCTATTGGTTGGCAAGTCTGAAACTACTTAAAATGGAAAATTAAATGGAAAGCCACTTCCTCCCTTCTCCAGGCCTTATGTAATATGGTGTATGGATCCTCACCAGCCTGTTTTACAAGCCACTTGCGGGCCTTCCAATGTGGGCAGCCAACGTGTCTCACTTACATCCCTGCCTGCAAGGATCATGGTGCTCTCCAATATTTTACTCAAACATTGAAGATGCCCACAATCCCAGGCTACACCTTGCAAAATTGGCATGTTCTTCAGATGGCAAAAGGCACACCCCACCCCAGCAATCACAGAACCACAAGTGCGTCATAGATACCCACTCTGCTGAGAGGCAATGGAACATGTGCACCCTCAACTAACAGCAGAGGAAGCGTTTTCCCTCTCTGGCCTTGCTACTGCTGCATCTTCAAAGACCTGTGGCTGTAGTCCACCCGGAGAGGAAGTTCTTGMTTTTCTTCCTTCTCCTCCCTACCAATGTGTGCCTTGGCAACAGGTTCCAATTCTGCAGGTCACAGAGGAAAGGAAACAGAGGCATGTTGTTACCAGCACAATGCTTCTCTCTCATCCACCTACGGACCTCGCCCCTGCAGGAGAGCAGCTAACAAGCAGCAAGCATGATCTCCCGGAGCTGGGGTCTTTCATGACATAGGGACTTGCCATCGTCTTTTTTTTTAATATTTATTTTTTAGTTGTAGTTGGACACAATATCTTTATTCCATTCATTTATTTTTATGTGGTGCTGAGGATCGAACCCAGGGCCCTGCATGTWCTAGGCGAGCATTCTACTGCTGAGCCACAACCCTCGCCRGCCGATGTCTTTCTTACTGCTCCCACTTTCATCTCAATTTCCACCACTTTTCATATTTAGTTGTTAAAGAATCAAGTTATCTTGAGCCAAGGAGTGAAGGGCAGTTTCGGTGACATGCAAGGAAGAGATAACCATCAAGGGAGAGCTTAAAACACAGATATTAAAAGGGTTGACAAAGCCAACCTGGAATCCTATGTAGTTCTTTATAAAACAACTGAATTCTCCCTCCTTCAATGCAACTTGATCCAGCAGCCATTCTTTCCTTAATTTCTCAATCCCAAAACTGGGATARGAACCCAGGAGATACTTACAAAAATGAGATCCCTGTCCATATGAAGAGAAATTAAATAATGAAACAAGAATAAATACATTGAAGGGGCTGGGACTGTAGCTCAGTGGTGGAACACTTGCCTATCTTGTAGGAGGCACTGGGTTCAATTCTCAGCTCCACATAAAAATAAACAAAATAAAGGCATGTTGTCCATCTACAATTACAAATTTTTTAAAAATAAATAAACACATTGAAGGAAAATAAATAAATACATTGAAGGAAGAGTTATGGGAAGCAGGTAATAAGGGGACGGAATCACTCTGGGGTTGGTTGAATTATATAAAATGAAGTATTAGTTAAGAAACTCCTGCAGCTTAATTTCAATGACAATACAGAAGGGCAAAACAGCACCTTGTCTTTCCTGTTTAAAATACTTTTAAAATTCCAACATTGTATCTTAATGAGAAAGAAGGCTGGGAAGGAATGGGAGGTTCTCTGTTACTAAAAGTGTTTCTGTCAGAACAAAAAACTGACTTGGTTACAATCAGAGAGGAGTAATGCCATTAGAACATACAATAAAAAGAAGACTATAAAAAAAAAAGTAGCACTAGTCAAATCCTTAAAGAAAGATAAATTCTCTAAAGGAGATGAAATTTCATAAGAGCTAAAAAAAAAAAAAAGTCACCAAGTTACTGCAGAATTCATATCAAAGATCTCTCCATGGTGGACAGCTCAGGAAGAGACAGGGCATGAGAACAGAATTGATGCTAGAAAACGTTTGTTGAACTAGAATGTACAACAAGGGGAAGAGGGATCAGATGAGATATAGAAATAGAATAAACTCACGAAGGCCTTGAAGCTAAGTGAAAAGAATTCAACTTTCCTACAAGAGACACTTTCCATTCATATGAAATGTCCACAAGAAGCTTCTCTACAGAGAGAGAAAGTAGGATGCCAGATGACTAGAACTGGGGATATTGGGAGGAAATGAAGTGACTTTTATCAGGTAGAATGTTTCTTTTTGGAATAATGAAAATGTTCCAAGGTCAATTGTGGTGAAGGTTACACAATGCTGAATACACTAAGAAAAAAGCATTCACTGGTTTAAATGGGTGAATAATAGGACAGGTAAATTGTATTTCAAAAAAAAGCAGTCCACACCCCATTTCCAGGACTCTCAGAGGCCCTCTGGGGCAATCTCCAATGTCCAACCTGGATGAACCTGTGACTTGGTCTTCCCAGTCTTTCTCGAAAGAGGAGATGTTGGCATAGCTCAGTGGTAAAGCACTTGCCTAGAAAGTACAAGGCCTGGGTTTAGTCCCTAGCTCCATCAATCAATCAATAAAATTAAACTTGAAAGCAACTGCAGGTGACTGAAGAAAACAAGGAGCTCAAATGTCCTTCCAATTGATTATATCTGAATGTGGAAGAGGAGTTTAGTCCATAATAAAACACAAATATCCCTCAAAGACGTGCATAATTCGCCAAAGGTGTTATTAACTAATGAGAGCTTCACTGTGAAACTGAAATACAATCTTAGAGCCTAGAGAGGCCTGCACAGTTGGTTCTTCCAGGGCTCCACCTGTCTGCTGTCTGAAGGGCACCAAGTTGGAGACCTGAGACCACAGATGCCTGAGCCCACCTGCAGAAACATTTGGGAGCCTGTCTGGGATAGGATATAACACTAAGGGCTCTTCAATATGATTTTAATACACACCTAGGTCTAGGAACTACTTAATAAATCAACATCCTTAATTTTCTCAAGAAGGAAAGAAGGGTGCAAAGAAGTCAATTAAATGTTGCTCAAGCCACCTAGTTCGGTTCAGGCAAAACACACCTGTAGTATAGGTGTGGGTGGGTGGGGGTGAAGGGAACACTTCCTTAGAAAATCCTGGCCTCAGAACAGTGGTCAAGATCCCGTCATAAGAAACTCTGGAGAATAATGTCTGACCTATTATCTGCAAGATGAGTGACTTTGAGACTGGGCTGGGAAGAGAGTTCTTAATATGCAGGGAATTCACTGCTTTGCTAGGTGCCCCAGGGGGAACTGATGCCCAACAGATGGAACTGACTGGTGAGGAAGGAGAATTTTTGTAACTTCACAGGCCAGATCTGAACTGTCCAGGCCTCTCTGATTGGGAAGACTTTTTTTTTTTTTTTTTTAAACCCTGAGCCCAGTGTTATAAAATAAACATCAAGGAATATAAAAGCTAATCCTTCATTCTCTCAGCTGCACATGGACCCAGTGCTGCCTGCAAAGAACAGGGCAGACCCTGGCAGATTGACCTTCACAGACCATGCTAAAACCCACTTGAGAAGTGCCTGGTGAGTGCTCTGGTTGACAAGCACCAAGCCATTACGTTACCGAGCAGTGTGCTTCTTACCGATAATTCCACTGTCCTTGCTTTCCAGGGTGGAACTAGGGCTGCTAATGGTCTCACAGGGACTTTTGTTGGCTGCCGTCTTGCTGACACAGCTATTCAAGGTTGAGCAGGGGCTATCGGTGCTAGGAGATGCCGTGCTGCTTGTTAGTGTGGAGCAAGGACTGATGCCTTGGCTCAGAGCTGTGCACTGCAAGATGAATGGAAGGAGGAGTTAGCACAGCTGACACAGGACACTTCAACACACGCTTTTGATGTTAAAACAATAAAACTTTTAAAAAAATGAAAAAGAAAAATAGAGGGCAGTTTTTAAATTCTAGGAGGAGACATGAATAGACATAAATATATAAATGTGTGTGTATATATGTGTGTGTATATATGCATACAGACATACATACATATATGGTCTTCCAAAATGTTAAAAAGAGAAGTATCTTTGTTCTGTTCCCTTCCTTTGTGATTTTCCTTTTTATTAAAAGGGCAGTCTTAGCAATAATTTAGAGAATCAGAAATGGCAAACAGGCAGACTTCCTCTCATTTAAAATCTGCAGAAAACAAATGGGTTATTTGACCTCTGTACAGAAAACCTGGGGACTGTTTTTGTAACGTTTCATGAGCACAGCAGCCCGATTCAATTCCTGAAGATTTATGGGCTCCGAGATGAGGGAAGGAGCRTGGTGGCCACTGTGTCTCAATCAACCCAGGACACCTCCCTCACAGAGACCCTCACAGTGGTGGTGGCTGTGGAGGGCGGGGTCCAGCCCTTCACTGCTGCTCACAGGCACACATCTCGGAAGTAGCAGAGTGCTGCTGGCTGCTGTCCCCTTGGACGGGCATGCCTTCCCGGTAGATGGACCATTTGATCTCATCTCATTTTGTCTCTGCYTCATCTGCTATAAATCTTTTCCTCACCCTACTGACCCTCCAAAATCCCAACAGCTAAAAAGGCACAGGAAAGCAAATACCAAAGCAGCCAGATGAGAAGAATGGTGCTATAAAGATAAAAGTGGTATCGTTATGAAGGAATTCTTTTAGCTACTTTAATTCATGTAGCTGCTATTCTCCAGGGAGTGACTAGAAGGTTAATGTGGACATTTTCTTAAGTTCTGCTCCCTCTGCTTTTCCCTAACCCCCTCTCTACAAACACCCAGAAACAAACTGTTGCAATAAATTTCAATACACAACAGCCCAGAACTCATTTGACCAAACAATGACTTCCCCCCTCCTGGGGAAAGGAAGATTGGTTATCGCTTCATTCATCCTCTGAGCAGGTATGAAATGCAGTGTCTTCCTCGGGCATTACCATGGTTTCATTTTTGTCTTCAATGGTTATGTGTGTGGCACTTGGGATCCCTTCTCCCAGTAAAAATCCCAGCCTTGTCAACAGTTCTTGAGCTGCCGGTGAACAGCTCGGTTCATTATCGGTCTTTGCTTCTGGAACAAAGAAAGAAAACAATGAAGATGCCCCTCTGGGGAATTTCAGCTTCGCATCTGGATGAGTTCGYACTATAGCTGCTTGTCTGGCACTTTTGTGTATTTTTATAAAATGCACCAAGTTTGACAATGCGGCTTGTCCTCTAGCAGTACATTCTAATTAAGAAGCCGTGACAGGTTAAGAAAACAGTAACAGAGATATTCCAAGTTTAAAGGGTGAAATATTCAACCTGAACCAGAAAAACCCAGTGTTGTTATCTGATAGCAATTCCTATTCCCAAACCAGTGGGGGGAATGGGTAATTCAGATACCCCTTTGGGTAAGAAAAAGTCTTCCCGTTCACCTTAAAGGGCACGGTGTGGGCAATGCCAAAGGGGGCTAAAATAATGCAAAACCCAAGTGACATGCTGGCAGAGACCCAGGCTGTTTAGATTCAGGGATAAAACTGAAATCTAAGTTCTCATTAAGCCAGGCAGGGGCAGGAAGACCTTGGTGGAAAATCTGCATGTTCCGCAGCAGCAATGGTCAAAACCAGAACTCCAACTCAAGCCACCGATCACTGAGAAACCTCATTAAAACAAGGACTTAAAAACTCAGTGAAACATGTCCTCAAGAAACAGGTTTCAGCAATGCACTGTTGTCCATGAGGAGATGTAAAAAAAAAAAAAAAAACAAAAAAAAAACCAGCCTATATTCTCGGAATGCTCCACAGGTAATGCTGGAAAGTAGGGCCTTTCTGGGTTTCTTCCGGAAATTAGGTCATTTGGCTTTTTGTATTTAAGATAATTTTATTATTGGATTCCAATTTAAATGTTGAGCTGGAAGTTAACCTTGTAAACAAAAGCCTAAGCATTGATTATGGATGCCAAAATATCAACATCATCCCATTGACTCTTTCAAATTTTTAAGTCAGCATCCATGGGGATGAAATCACATACAAAGCACACTGAGATTACACAAGTCAAACTCAAGAGCAAACAATGCACAACATACAATACAGTCACTCGGTGTTTTACTGTTTTTTAATTATCCAGACACCAAGATCCATACATATATAAACCCATCTTCTCTAGATGTAGAAATCTGAAGATAATGGTAGAGGTTTTAGAAAAACAAAATGAGGAAAAAAAAAAAACAACACAGTGATGTTCCTTTTGAGCTATGATGTCAACAACAAAGTTTGCTGTTAACTTTGCCTTTGTAAGGAACTGCAAAAAATTAAAATAAACAGAGCTTTTGAGAAGACCATCTGTATTATTCTCATTTCGCATATCAGTTTTGCTATGACATGCACCCAGAATGGCAGCTATGAGGAAAATCAGGCTGGTAGTATCTTCAGGAAAGGAAAGGCACTCAGTCACTTGCTGGTTCTCAATATTTGGGGAAGGAAGAAGAGCTGTTTGCAGCTTAAGGTATGTTTTATTGACTCTAGAAAACTGCAGCCCTGTGGTAACCAAGGATTGATTGTTCTGGGGTGAGAGCGCCCTGATGTTTCYGGATTATTTGCATTCAACTCATAATGTGAGGGATCAGTAGACCCAAGACAACTCTTGGAAAGGGAACCACCCAGGGCGGGTGGATCACACCCCTGTGCTGCTCTACAAAAGATCCCTTCCCACCAGAGACTTCAAACCACAGTTAGATTCTCAAGGTAGATGGGCATTTGGGAACAGAGGGCGTGAACCAAACAAAATCAACACAACCCAGGCACACCCAAGGGCTGAACCATTCAGCATAGGATGGGTCTCCCCCCACCCCACCCTCTCCACTCCCAAGCCCCAAGGCTCAGGCAGGGTTGCTATTTTATCTTGAGTAGCAGCTGGACTGGAGGGCGGACATACAACCCAGATGGAAAGGGGAAGAAGTGGGTAAGGAGGGAGATCTCAGTGGTTTCTCTATTCCACCACCTCCTTTCCTTTCGAAACACCTCCATACTAACACATGATTGTGACTATGCCCCCGAAAGTCTAGCTTCTGGTTCAACCTGAAACACTCTGGGGAAAAAGCCAGCAACTACTCCCACTTGGCAGCTGCTGTGGAGGCAGAGTACAGTTGTACACAGGCAGTGTCACAGAACCTACCCTGCAACAAACACAGGCACAGCCTATGGCTCACTGGAGACTCATTTGAAAGCCTCAGATCTTGTGTAGGTCCTACATGAAGCTGAGGGACATCACCACCCCCAGCAGAGTCAAGGCCACCTCCACACTGGGGCTATTGAGAGACACCCCAGGTTTTCAACAACAAAAAAAAAATCTGAAAAAAAAAAGTTATCCAAAAATCACCCCCCTTCCAATGAGCTAGGGAGCAGTAGCAATTCCAGGTTCAACCGCTGAGTTTAAAGAGACACCCAAATTCATGTTCTCAAACCCTACTGGGGTTCAGGATGAATGGAGACATTCTTTATATCATTTTGCATCCATTAAGCCACTACAATTTTATTTCTTCCAAAGGATTCCTGTGTTTTCAAATTTCATTCACTCTTCTATAATATCATCCTAGTGACCATAACTTTAAAAGTCTGAATTCCTCCATCCACCTCAAGTCGTCCATGTCTTGCCTTCCTTAATGCACAGTTTTTTCTCACTGAACGGTTCTTTCTGGTACAAGGACCTCTGGGTGAAGAATGACAGTGCCATTCTGGGAGAGAAGAGTTGCCTGTGAGCTCAACTGGGTGCACTCCCTTGGGAAATGGAAATGCATTTCTACTTTTGTAGTTGTTCACCAAATACTGTGTGTTGAATAGCCGTATGATCTACTTTAAGCTAATTATTACTCCAACATAACCTCCAGATCAAATTGTACTAGGCCACTAAAAGGAAAGTCTATTTTCATTCAGGTAGTTAATATTAAGTCACTCATCAATAATGGACATACTTTACCCATTATCAGTGGGATAAGGTCTAGAAAGAAGAAAGACCTCATTTTACTTTAAATCTCACTCCAAAGAATTTGTGTTGGCTGTATTTGGAACTGAGAGAATAGCTAACTTTATACTTCCTGGGAATCTGTTAGGCTCAGAATGGCCAGTGATATTCCTCCCAATAATTTTTTTTTGTTTGTTTTATTTTGTTTTTGGTCCCAGAGATTGAACCCCAGGGTGCTCAACCCCTTAGCCACATCCCCAACCCTTTTTATTTTGTGGCAGGGTCTCACTCAGTTGCCCAGGCTGGCTTTGAGCTTGTGATCCTCCTACTTCAGCTTCCCAAGTCACTGGGATTACAGGTGTGCACCACTACAACTGGCCCAATAATGTCTTCATGGACTTCTTAACGTCACACGCTTGTGGCGCTTGTGGAAGGCTAACCCATACGGAAAGGTAAAGGTAAAGTTCTTTTTTTTTTTTTTAAAAGGCTTTCATCAGCCCCTTGGATTTTTTTTATACCTTTATTTTATTTGTTCATTTTTATGTGGTGCTGAGGATTGAACCCAGGGTCTCACATGTGCTAGGCGAGCACTCTACAGCTGAGCCACAACCTCAGCCCCTAAAGGCAAGTTCTTAAATCACTTCCTGCCTGCCTGTTTTCAGACCCTGTTAGATTTGTGTGTGGAGCACAAACACTGAGGAGCAGTCCACTAACTGACCAACTCCCCAGTTGCTATCAAGATAAATTCAAAACCTCAATGACCTTCCCAGTCTCCTCCTCGCCTTTTTTATACTGCAGAAGATGTTAACAGGATTCTGAGCCCTTCAGGTGTTGAACCTCAATTTCCTATCAGTTAAGTGCTGTACCCACTTCCTACTATAGATGGTGAGCCTCAAAACCAATAATGTCAGAAATACCTTATAAACCACAGGATGCTATAAAGCTGGTCATTATCTGCATCAGTTTTAACACTAAGAGCCCACATTTCCTATTATTTCATTTTCTGGTTTCATAAGTTCATATGAAAAAAAAGTTTATACATGTTTACAGATGTACTTGAATTTTTCTTACCTAAAAATATAGTTGTTTATAATCTTTCTGACCCAAGTAGCTTTTTCTGAACTCAGTATTCCAAGACAATAAATTCCCTCCTTTTGTTGATTGCCAAACTGTCTCAATTTGGCTCATACTGCTTCATTTACCATCTAATGATCCCCTCTTCTTAAAACCAGATTCTGTTAGAACTGTGCAGGTCCCTGGAGGCCAGTGGTCACTCCATAAAGAAGACCTCTTCACCCTTATCCTCTTCATACTCCACAGAGCACTGGGCATCATGGACAACATCTGGCTACTTCCTAGCTATGTGACCTTGAACAACTGACTAATGCCAGTCTTCCAAAATAGTAGATGTTAAAATTTATCATTTCTTCTTTCAAAGTATCTCACTTAGCTCTAAGTGCCCATCCTCTCAAGTGTAGGTAACTTGTAAAGTTTGGATCAATTTTCTTATCTCTATTTTTATGGTCTTCCTCTCTTCTAAGCCAGCAGATTCTCAAACATTTTGACATCAGGATTCACTCCCTAAAATTATAGAGGACTTCAATGAGCTTCAGTTTATAACAATTATATTTATTGATATTTATCATAGTAGGAATTAAAAATATGAATTTTTAAAATGTAAGTTCATTTTAAAATAAAACCTATAACAAGTTAATTAACATTTTAATAAAAACAACTATACTTCCAATTTAAAAAGTCAGAAAGAATGATGTTATTTTACCTTTTCACAAATATCTTTACTATTTGATTTAATAGAAAACTGGTAGAGTCTTAGTCTGTTTCTGCACTCATTCTGTTGGGATATGTTTTTGTTTTGATGCTGGGAACTGAACCCAGGGCTTCTTGAGCACTCTACCACTGAGCTATACCCCAGATTGTTTTGTATCTTAAATGAATCTTGCTGGAAGAGATGGCACATATTTGTATCTCAGGGAGGGAGGCTAAGGCAGGAGGATTCCAAGTTCAAGGCCAGACTGGACAACTTTACAATATCCTATCTCAAAATTAAAAATAAAAAGGACCACCCTTGGGTTCAATCCCCAGTACTATGAAAAATAAATAAATGGATCTTCT